TAATTAAAGAATTAGCAAAGAATTCGCGTTCGATATAGAGAATATTAAAAGTAGATTTTGATATTTTCGCTAGTTTTGTTTTTTATCATCATAGGAATTTCGTATATTTTGTCAACAATTGTATATAACTACAACAACAATTGACAACATAGTTTTTTTACAGGAGTTAGTTTCTCTTTAAACGTCCACATCTTCAACTTCGATTCCATAGAGAAGAATTGAAACTAAGGGTAGGGAACTCTGTATCTCAGATGTTTCCTTAGTTATTCGTGTTACATAACTTTTCTAAACACAGTTGCTTTTTTTACTAAATCGCTTCCCCTTTCTACACAAATGACTCTTTTAATTTTTACCTCGATATTTTTGTTCATTGCAGTTCATTGCAACTAAAAAGTTGCTATTCAGATTTGTAGAAGGTAAGATGTGGTATGAATCAATTTGTGTTTGTGTCATTAGCATATGTTGACCTTGCTTGTAAGTTCTAGTTTGGATGATATAATTAGGTCAGAGCAACATATTTCATCTGCCCCATTTACTGTCAGGTTTGAAAGGGTTACAATCATACAATCTTCCAAGATTCATCAACTAAATACACCGTCACAAATTAGGTTGAACCAATTATGAATTCCAATGGTAATTTGCAAAAAAAAAAAAAATCACCCAGAAAAACTAGCACTCTGATCGTCATTAACTTTTCCCGTTGAAGGGATGGTGTGGTCAGCACTATGCCCAGCCGCCTTTACTTTCTCTAACGTAAGTTGGGTAACCATCAGAGCTGGTCGGACTCTGTACGTTTTACTGACTTGAACCCAGATTCGAACTCGATACCTTCGGCTTAGCAGTCTAGCTCTCTACCGCTTTCCCGCTCTGTGATAAAATAAATTATTTAACGCCGCTGTTAATATGCGTGTTGTTAAAATCTAAGTGATTAACATTGTCTTAAACTTGTAGAGCGCAACTAGACAATTCTGTTGATGCCCCTGTGTGCCCGAGTTGGTTTTCAAATCCCTAGGTGTCTGTCTTTCCCCCCTCCTCCCCCACCCCCCTAGGTCGGGCCTCATTGCGATTGGTTACGTTGTTCACTTCAATTCAAATGACGATCGCCGCATCCGGGTCGCATTGTGCCGAAAGCGTCACAGGAGCTGGTTGTGTTTTTATTTTCAATTAGAAGTTTTATATCGCGCCTATTATGATGTCTACCTTGTTATTTTCTTATGGATAGGTGAATTTTTCAACTACCGATGAAGATAAAAGTGTGAGTATATATATGTATATATATACATATATATATATACATATATATATATATATATATATATACATATATATATATATATATATATATATATATATATATATATATATATATATATATATATATATATATATATATATATATATATATATATATATAGACATAGTTACACGAGATTCAAGAGTTGATACTTATGGCAACGTGTATTTGGATCGAATAAAATGACATTTAAACGGCGGGTGTGTGTTGTTAATAATTTTATTTCTATGCTACCTGAATATGATCCAAAAACAATGGTAATTGTTCATGAATTGTACTGATGGTATTGCAGAGCATATTTGAATACCTAAAGGTGAACTAGGAAAAAGTAAGGAGCCCCTCTACCACATCCACACCATCCACTATCCAAATATATTAGGTTGGTTATATATTCTCGAGGTTGACCACTAACAGTTAGGTTTAAAGAATTACATCAGGCTGCCCTCCCCCCTCTCTAAAGGATAATAACAACAGCTCTGGCTTTCTACTTTGTTCTTAATGGTAAGTTTGAAATTGATTTCCTTCAACACCATTAAGAATAAAGTGTCAACCTTTTAAACACCATATAGAAGGTTGAATCAGATATAAGCCTACTTTTCTTTTTAGATATTGTTCCATAGTTCCTATCCATCCAAGAACAAATTTTATAACCGCAGTTGTATGATATGGATGGGTTTCTGCTCCCTAGATATCTAGCAAGTGTGTTGTGTGTGTCACACCTAATTTGTTGTGTGGGTCACACCAACTTTGTTGTGTGGGGCACTTAACTATATTGTGTGGGTCACACTACTGTATGGTGTGGGTCACACCTACTTTGTTGTGTGGGTCAAACTACTTTGTTGTGTGGGGCACACCTACTTTGTTGTGTGGGGCACACCTACTTTGTTGTGTGGGTCACACTGCCTTGATGTGTGGGTCACACCACTGTGTTGTGTGGGTCACATCTAGTTTGTTGTGTGGGTCACACCACTGTGTTGTGTGAGTCACACCACTGTGTTGTCACACCTACTTTGTTGTGTGGGTCACACTGCCTTGATGTGTGGGTCACACCTAGTTTGTTGTGTGAGTCACACCACTGTGTTGTGTGGGTCACACTGCCTTGATGTGTGGGTCACACCTGGTTTGTTGTGTGGGTCACACCACTGTGTTGTGTGGGTCACACCACTGTGTTGTGTGGGTCACACTGCCTTGGTGTGTGGGTTACACCACTGTGTTGTGTGGGTCACACCACTGTGTTGTGTGGGTCACACCACTGTGTTGTGTGGGTCACACCACTGTGTTGTGTGGGTCACACCACAGTGTTGTGTGGGTCACACCACTGTGTTGTGTGGGTCACGCCACTGTGTTGTGTGGGTCACACTGCCTTGGTGTGTGGGTCACACCACTGTGTTGTGTGGGTCACACCACTGTTTTGTGTGGGTCACACCACTGTGTTGTGTGGGTCACACCACTGTGTTGTGTGGGTCACACCACTGTGGGTCACACCACTGTGTTGTGTGGGTCACACCACTGTGTTGTGTGGGTCACACCACTGTGTTGTGTGGGTCACACCACTGTGTTGTGTGGGTCACACCACTGTGTTGTGTGGGTCACACCACTGTGTTGTGTGGGTCACACCACTGTGTTGTGTGGGTCACACCACTGTGTTGTGTGGGTCACACCACTGTGTTGTGTGGGTCACGCCACTGTGTTGTCACACCACTGTGTTGTGTGGGTCACACCACTGTGTTGTGTGGGTCACGCCACTGTGTTGTCACACCACTGTGTTGTGTGGGTCACACCACTGTGTTGTGTGGGTCACGCCACTGTGTTGTCACACCACTGTGTTGTGTGGGTCAAACCACTGTGTTGTGTGGGTCACACCACTGTGTTGTGTGGGTCACGCCACTGTGGGTCACACCACTGTGTTGTGTGGGTCAAACCACTGTGGGTCACACCACTGTTGTGACGCCCCACCCTCCTAGGCTGTGAGTCACACCATTGTATCCTGGCTGTAGATCACGAAGTTAACACTTCTAAGGGCCAGGCTGTCTTTGGCGAACATTAAGTCGTTTTACTGCAGGTGTAGTCGGGCAATGAAATCCTTCAACGTATCAGGTAAAGCCAGCTTGGTTTTTTTTTATCTGGCTCCAGTAATCATAAAAACCAAATCTAAAAACAATGATTTGAAACCAATACTGTAAGCAGGTCTTGAATCAAACCATTTTTACAAATAAATAACTCCCTCCATTTCTACCACTAACTGAGTCTCAACATGCAGACCGATGAGCAGTGTTACGAGTATTATTTTTCTGGGATGGGGGAAGGCACTTGATACTTTCGGGGGGGGGGGGGGGCACAATACTTTCGGGGGGGGGGGGGCGACACTGGTAAAAGTAAAAGTATATGATTTCTATATAAATTCCATCTCGTTCTGGGAGCGGTAGACTTTCTTCTGGGAAGGGGGGGTGGGGCGGAGCCTGGAAGAAACTCTGCCGATTAGTCATACCATTCCTGTAACTGACTCTGCATATACCTGTCACTAAGTGACCCTACCATTCTTGCCACTGACTCCCGCCACTCCTGTTACTGACTCCCCACATTTCAGCCACTGACTGACGCACAGCAATACTGCAAATGACTCCCACTACTGTAGTCATAAACTAAATTCAACCGTTCCTGGTTCTAACTAACCCCTATCATCCCTACTACTTACCCCCACAATCTCTTTCACTGACTCTAGCCACTCCTTTAATTAATCGACTATCTTCATTTCTATCACTAACTCACAGCATTTCAACCACATACTTCCTCTATTTCTACCAATAACTGAATTTTAACATTCCTGTTACCTTCACTCTCCAAACATACTTTAAACTTACTAACCCCTTGCAATTCATATTACTAACAGACTTCACACATACTTGCAGCTTACTTACCCTCCCCCCCCCCCCCCGGCCATTTCTGTAACTAACAGACTCCAACAATACCTGCAAATTACTAACAACCCTGTTTTCCTGACTTCAACAATACTTGGAACTTACTAAAATAAAAGTTTTCCTTTCAAACCTGCCGGTCTATGGGGCATTGAAGTAGAGTTCACTTGTTTCTGTGACCTCGGCATATGAAGAGATAGTGTGGCCTGCACTATGCCCAGCCGCCTTTACTTTCCCTAACTTGAGTTAGGTACCCATCAGAGTTGGGTAGACTCAAGGACGGTTCACAGACTTGAACCCAGATTCGAACTCGAGACAAAGGGGTTAGCAGTCCAGCTCTCTACAGATAGACCACTCCGTCCCATTTGCAACTTACTAACCCCCTGCAAATCCTGAAACTAGCACCCACCATTCCTTCTGCCACAGACTCCTCATTACTGTCACTAAATGACCACCACCTTTTCTGTTACCAACTAATCCTCACAATTCATGTCTATTTTCACTATCTCTATTACTGACTCATACATTCCAGTCTCTGACTCCCAATATTGTTGCTGCTGACTCAAACCACTACAGTCCTTAACTCACATAATTCCTCCCCCTGATTCTCTCTATTTCTGACACTACCTCATTCCTGACTCACCATTCCAGCCACTGACTCCCACTATTCCTGCCACAGACTCCCACCATTCCTTCCACAGACTCCCACCATTCCTACCACTGGCTCCCACTAATCCTGCCACAGACTCCCACCATTCCTACCACTGGCTCCCACTAATCCTGCCACTGAC